TCCGCAAAAACGGCTTTAAAATTACAAAATACAATGCACTTTCTAACAGGGACATCTGCATAATGATTATAAGGAGCGCGAAGATTTCGACAGGGTATAAAATAATCCCTCTCGCAGAGTGGAAGAAAGGCATTAAAAGTCTTCCAGTCTCGGGGCCATTTAAAAGTCAATAATTCCACCGGAGAGGCATTATGAAGGCACGTCTTTGTCTGAACTTTCCGAATATTTCGAACGGTGCATGCGGCTTCTCAAAGATTTTCCACGTGCAAAGAGTTATGGAGCAGCTTCGAGCATTTCAGTCGGGCCTTGTTTACAAAGCGATAGGGGGTTTTTATTCGGCTGCCTTTTGAGAAAGTTGTAGCTTTTTTTGCGCTATTTCTGTTGCATAGTTTTTAATTCTGGGCTTATTGTGCACTATATTGTAGACTAAAGGTTTTTTTTTGAAAAACTAGTAAGTCTAAGGCTTCTGAAACACGCCAAATTTAATAAAATGTTCGCGGAGACTGAGGATTCTCACAAAAGAATAAAATTACAAATTAAAAACGTACATATAAAAGGAATTTTGAACTCGATTATACAAGGGTATAGGGTGATCAGTTCTCGGTATGGATCATTTGGAACTGTCTAGAAGAACCATTTAGAACGCTCCAAATTTAATTAAAACTGTCTAGAATCATTTAGAACTGTCTGAAACCATTTAGAACGCACCTTAGTCATTAAGAACTATCTAGAACCGTTTGGAACGCTCCAGATGCATTTAAAGCTGTCTAAAACCTTTTAGAACTGTCTGAAACCAATTAGAACGCTCCATAGTCATTTAGAACTATCTAGAACAGTTTATAATGCTCCAGAAGCATTTGAAACTGTCTAGAACCATTTAGAACGAACCAGAATCCTTACCTCGTACTGCAATTTAATTACAATTTAAGCGAAAAAACCGTTATTCCGAATAATTTATTAATAATTCCTATATTGAATAAAACCACTAATTTATCTAGTTAATTAAAAGAAACTTGTCAGGTATTTAATAGATACTCCGCAGGAACTATAAATAAACGTAACCGGTGCACTTTTCCTCTCGAACAAGAAACCGTTTAATTAGATACGCGATAGAAACCGAGTTCTGAGCAAATCTAATTTCGAATTTCAAAGTGTCAGTTGCGCCCGCAGGTTCCGCTCGACAAACTCCAAATTACCGTCCAGACCGGCCCCGGGGACTCGGCGAATTGAATTTAAGTACCGGTTTTTCTCTGAAAAGTACCGGCGATTTCTCCGGAGAAAAATTCCCATCCGGCGCGAAGGAGTGTAATTTTCAGCGCGCTGTTATTGAATCTAAACTGAATAAAGTGCACGTTTTGAGCCGCGATGACTTGTCGCTGACGAGTTACGACTGGTTTTATGGACGGTTTTCTTGCAGAGGCGCCACCGATGGAAGTTTATAGGAATTGTCGGGATTTTTGATGGTAAATGGGTGTCCATAACGAATTTGTCCTGGAGGAATTTATTGTCAATTTCCTGCTTATGTACTCCAAATACTTTTTTTATCGAAAACCAGCCCATCTCGAGTCAGGGTCTATAAAGAAATTTTCTTCCCGTCTTTCATATTTTATTAACACTTCCGAACACGTCTCTATTGTTTCCCGAATGAGTAATTTCGAGACCTGACAACACACTTTTAAGGTTCCGTACAATCCCGAGACGCCCACTTAACGGAGCAGACGAAGCTATTTTAACAAAGTAGACGTCGCTTAGGATCAGCCGTCGCGTCGCGACGTCCGTTCCTATGGAAAGGAATCTTCCTGATGCTTTCCGGAAAATTTCAGTCCACATCAATTTGCGCGACTCCATCGCATAATCATGTGGTTACATTGCTAGTAACTCGTGACGCTTTTACTTGCGGTATCGCTTTCGATTATCTTCTACAATGCTACAGAAATAGCTGGAGACGCACATCGTCTCACGCACAGAGACGCGATAGTTCGATGGGCATCAAGGTGGCGTAGTTCTTGTCTCTAGAGATTTATTCCGAACTGTAACCAAGTATCACAATGTATTATGGTTTATTTCGTTTATCTTCTACAATGCGACTAAAATAGCTGGAGACTAGCGAGTTCGATGCGCAAAGTGGAGGTCGTACAGGTCACGTCTCAAGATATTTATTTCGTACTTTAACAAGTATCATAGATCCATTTCTTATGAACCTTATACAATATTTATGGTTTCTTGGAAAAGCATTACTTCCACTTTCCCTTCGACATGCCGGATAAAACGAATAAAACAAAAGTCCCTTCTCGCGTCCGTCTACCTAGAAAATTGAAAATCTACCGGCCGCAGAGGGGCCGTATCCCTTCCGTTTCTGGTATTAGCGCTAGGGCGACGCGCCGGGCCCCCCTTCTGTTTCCCGCCGGGGCCCCTCGGGGCCCATCCGGCCCACGAAATACACAACTCGACGTGTGTAATTCCTGTCTCATTGTTGTTCCAGTCTGCGAAAAGTCGAATTAAGAAGAGCAAACGTTGTAAGTGAAATTACTTCGGCATCGTGCATTTCCAGGGGGCAAAACCATAGGCGACTCGTCTAATTTACTTTCACCTCTATAACAAAATAACGCTAGAACCGGTATTGATTCAGCGATTGGTGATTATTTTATAATAAAGCTTTAATTCATCATTTTTGTCGATTACCACAGCGCCCTGTATAGATTCAATACAATAATGTCCTTGTTAACATTTCGCCGTAATTTATGTACGAGCGAAAAATTGAAATAACATGAGAAGAAGTGACGCAGAAAAGATAATATTATCCCGGCCCTTTTTCCTGCTGGTCCTTCGTCGAGTCGCTGCTGCGCCGCAGTGGAAGGGGCCGCCTTAATGAGGGTGGAAATTGCCTTGTTGCTATCTTAGGCGCACAGAAGCTTGTAAAGGTAAATCATTAGATTCCCCCCACTCGGCGCGGGGGATGTTTGATCTCCGATAGTGATAGTGACCGGTTAGAAAAGAATCGATAACGAGTTTAGCGAGACTAACGCGCGGATTTGCGACGGTTTCATTAAGATAAGTGCAGTTGACATTCACTTTGCAGCGTCTGACCCTCGGTTAAATCTGCAACCGACCCCTCGGGTTATTGGCGACAAAACCCTAATTGGATTTTCTGTTTTACGGCAACGCCGTTTGTGCATGTTCTGTAACGAGGGCGCGGGTCAACTGCACTCACTCTATACAGAGTGTACGAATTCTTCCGCTGCAAGCGTTAGAATTAGAATCTCAATCAATACTATAAGATAGTAAAGAACAGAAACTTGTTTATCGGTTGCCGGCCGATATTAGAATTCGTCAATTCGCTTCGCTTCGTTCACTAGCGAATAGCGGGGATAGCGGGCGTGACTATTTCGTATGTTCTCTTTATTCCTTACATAGCAAAAGTTAAATTAGCTATCTCATTATATGCTTGCAGCGGATCAGTTCGTACATACTGTATACCTCTCTTTACGTATAAATAGTACTCGTTAATTAAATTAAATATTATGTTTATATTATAACTCACTATATTACAAAGTTGTTATGTAGATTATAACATATTTATATTAAATGGATATGTTGGGTAAATATTAGATAAATTGGTGCAGTTGAGACGAGACGTCCTCCGGCCGGTAGATTCTATTAAACGGCGAAATGATAAGCAGATTTCAGATTTCCCCCATTAATGCCATAGTTTCCATTACTTTTCGTAAAAGGACTGGAATTCTGGACGGAATCTAATTATGCAAATGGCTGGAGTGAAACTAGGCAAGTCGGTGAAAATTAAAAAAGGCGATATCGGGTATAGTAAATGCGAGAAGTAGAGGAAGTTTGCTGGAGCTAATGCGGAACGGAAAATTGCCCTTTATGGATTCCTGGCGAGCAGATTTCGCGCGAGCAATTATTTTTTTTAACGGTTATAGTCGAGTCGGTGTTTTTATTTTTCGGGATATATCCGCCAGTCGGGGCGAGTCTGTTGAATTTTTATTGCCATTGGATTCGACTTTGATTCGGGGCGATTTGATTTTTTTTCGAAATAATCCGCGGAAGCTAATTAGAATGTTGTTTTTCGAGTTTCCCTCCTTCATTTTTGCATCGACAATCGCATAACTCTAAATACGAATTCGAGCTATCGATTTTCCGGAATCTTATTTTCCGAGGATAAAACTTTACACTTTCACCGCCGCAAGAGTAACTGTTTAGCGTAATAAAAATGCACCCCCTCCGAGAAGTTCCACCCGTAAATCTCGCCGTTCGAAAGTTTCCTGCCGCTTTTCCCCCATTGAAATCCCATTTCCGCTTAATATTAACTTAAGTCGCGGCAACCGAACGCTATATACTGATATTCCTGATATCTTCCGGGGGCGGGAAGCTCCCCGGCTCTCATCGTATTGTCGCGCTAATTTCCTTATGAAATAATTCCCCAAAAAAGCGTATAAATTAATATTGAAATCCCCGAATAATCCGGCTCGGGTAATTTTTCCTTGTTCCTCTTTTTACTCAGCTAATAAATAGCCCCGTTGGGCATAAATTCGAACGCTAATACCTGGAACGTTTTTTTCTTTCCTCTTGAAATTTATTTTCCCATTAAATCCCTGTTTATCTCGCGCCTCTTCTGCTCGACGCTGATTCGAAGATTCGTTGAGCAACAATAGAAAATTACGCCATCGACGTTTCGTCCTCCGATCGGCCATCCTCATTACTCATACCGATCGGTTGCGAGTCAATTACGAATGACCTAATTAATTTCGTTTTGCAGGTTGACATTTCATCTCTCTCCGCCGCACGACTGATGCTATCGCACGAACGGAGAAACAAAAGACGACAACGACGAGTCATGACCGGCTAGATCGCATCGAAAAAATCGAGACTCACGAACGCTCGTATAAACTGTGTGCCGGCTTGTGCTGGGGGATTTTCGTTTTCTTCGGGCGATAAGTGCCGCCATGACGCCACGTTCTCGGTAGTTCCGGTGCCGGTTCTTCGACGAGATGAATGCCAGGACGATTTTGAGTGTTGTGGGATTCGTCGTAGGCGTGGGCTGGTGCTATGCTGACGGTGAGTTATATTTAACGTTATTTATTAGATTTTCTTTCTGTTGTATTTTTTAGTATACTATACTATTTCATTTGTATTGTCTAAACTAACAATCATCCATCAAAATCCGATACATGTAGTGATTATTTCTAAAGAATCTTTTCAATTGTCTCAATATAGGTTCCTTCTCCATATTAACTCAAAAACAATAATGAATTTAATCTCTTAAAGTTTACAATATTCATCTTTATCCGGTACACAATTTAGTCACATAGCTACTTGAGTCATCAATTTTAGTATGTACAACTTATTCCATCCAATACTCCAACCGCCCATTCATTTAATCTTTTATCTATTTCCACTATAGCGTTGTATAAATACACGTACAGAATTTTTTGTCCGGGAAATCCAGGCCTTCCTGTGTTCATTGTTCGCGATGATCCGGAACTCCGTCTTTCAGCGTAAACTCTCCCGCTTTCCACTTGTTTTTACCCTTTCGCCCTTCGGAAAAAAATCCCTACAAGTATCGGGGGACGCATCTGTTTCATAATAAAATCCCCATATTTACGTCGCTTGAAACCCGCACGTCCTCAATGGCTGAATTTAGTCGAGACGTACGCACACAAAGCGGGAAATATTGAGCCTGAGGAATGGTATAGAAAAAAAATCCATGTTTTTAATGGCTTCATTTTGTGCAACTAACGCATTACAGCGCCACATACAATCGAATAATCCTATAATAGAAGTTCACTTCAAACGGTGCAAGTGCAATTTCTCGAATTGAGCGTTAGCAAACTTTGCTTTTCAACAAGATTAATTACTTGTTTCGGGGCGCACAGGACCTCGTTTCTGCTCCTGACGCCCGTTCCGAACAATAATTGTTGTCGAAGATACAAAACTATGAAGTTTTCACGTTCCGCCTTCGTACGATTACTAGTCCTGATTTAATTACACGCTGATTAAGAAACTTTGATTAGCGTCGAGAGAGAAACGTATGCATTTTACGTTCCGCGCCTAATTCGCCGTCCCGTGCTTCCCCTGACGACGAATTAAATAAGTTTCCGGTTTCCCAACTCGCCGTAACAATTCGAATTAAAATCATATTTGAATGTGCAACGACTAAAAACGAAAAATAATCTTCCTACAGGGCTAATTTAATTCTATTAGTTGAGTGTAAGTAGGTATGGTGTAGTAGAGGAGATCATGCAGAGAGCAGAAGAGAGCAGAAGGAATCAAAGTAGAGCAAATTAGAGACAAAATAACCAATCTAAGTATGCTTATTGTTAGGTTTAAACTAAGATGGGTTAAGTTAAACCCTTTAATCTAGAAGTCCTCAAATTCTTTAATGTTAAACTAAATCGAGCGCAAGTTATCATCTGGTAAAAATAATACCAAAATTAAATACTAAAAGTCTCGTTAATCCTTTTCTCTATACATAGAAGATGAGCCTTTTGGTCGTTATAACTGCCTTGGTGTAGAGTAGAGTCAAGTAGAGTAGAATTAGGGAGTATAGGGATTAACATAGTGACCGCGAAACTTCACCGTTCGAGGCCGTCTACCCTCGTCCTTATCAACAGGTCGTTCGGTTGATCCCGTCCCATCGCCTACCCTTTTCAATATCGCCCGACGAAACTAGATAAATGCTTTATCGATTCAACGGGCGAGCGCGAGGAGGAAAACTCCGGCGAGTAGTTATTGCGAAAATTTTAATTTAGCGGCTAATTGGAGAAAATAAGTTTTCTTTTGTAGCCGCTCGGAAAAGGGACGAGCCCTATGTGAAAAAATTTAATTTCGCTTGTGGTTATTACGCGAGTTTCGCGGAAGAATTTTAATATAAGATTTCCGCAAGGGAAGTACGTCATTACGTTATATTTAAAGGTAGAAGCAAACAATATTTAATTAAAATATTTTTATAAATTTTACCTAGGCAGAGGTATAGGCAGGCTTCTTATTCGAAAGTTCCTCGACTATACGCGGGTTTTTTAATAAACAAAATTAAGGGAAAGAATGTTCTTTGTTTTGTTCTACGCGAGCGCGCTCGTAAAATCGATAAGACAAAAGTCCACACACTTCAATTTGTCACAAAAGAAAAGTCGATCTTCGCCTTTAAATGACCCATCTCCTGTTATTTTATTCGAGCCACTCCACTTGTCCTCGTGAAAAGGAACTGAAAATCGACTCTACCTGAACAAGTAGAGAGAAAACCGGTGGTGTTTTAATTAAACCCGCATCGACTATAAACCGTCTGTCGTCGAAATAAAGCGAACGTAAACGAGCAATCGGGCCAAAAATCGAATGGCCATTAAACAAAATAATATTCTCATAGAACGGGACATAAAGAGTGTCCGACCGGAAGGAGGTTCGAATAAAGCCCCTCTGATCTCGAAATAATGGCGTGTTTTGGACGTTTGCAGCTCATTTGGTTTCCTCCAGGACCGGATTCCACCGTCCGAATCATCGAACTATTTATATTCAAACAGCAGTAATAGTATTAACGGTAATTATTTATAACTAGATTATAGACGAGCAGAATGAGTTGCTTCGATAAATGTATTTACGAATTTTACATGAATTAGTGGGTTTGATTCGATTGGTGAAAGCATTCGAGCCGGTTCTGTTTTTACAGGCTCTTGAGCTTTTAGGATTTTCTGATGAAATTTAATGCAAATGGTTACATAGTATTCGCCCGGTGCAGTTTTCACACTCAGTTGAAGTTTAGTGGCGCTTCGTGATAGGGCCATAACAGTTTTCTACCTAGATGGCCTAAAGTCAATAATATTTTCGAAGCGTGCTTTTCACCTAACGTTCTTTTCGAATGTTGTACAATGCTTTCTGTTTTATTTTTGGTAATAGTTTCACATTCAAACGTAAAGGTTTCAATTGCGATGGGTCCATAGGACCCATGCAGCGGCTCATGGGATTATTGATGTGAGTCATCTATAGGCCTTGGGGAAAGTAATGGCTCATGATTAATGCTGTGGACCAAGGACCATGCAACCATGGATCATGCGGTACCTGTAGAGGTCCATAATTCAAATCATACTTTCGGATCAACTGCTTTATATTAGTCGAGGAATTTTACGAGTGGCGTTGTTAAATTGTAATAGCGTTAACTAATTGCTCATCTTCAGTGTTATTAAAGCAAACAGGATTATTATCTTTACGGCATGCACTTTAGTTGCGGTTCGTTTCCAAACCACCAGATGCTCCTTTATTTTATAAACACTCGAATTTCCTAAATCGCTTAGCCGTTTTGTGTATGTATTCTTGTTCCTCGATACATTAACGACCTCCGAGTTTATGACGGATAACAGGCGAGCGCTTGTTTCGTCCGATGACAAACATTACATCTTCGAGTTGCATATAAACATTCGTGTTATGGAGCCACGGCAAATTGAGAAGAACGTCGTTAAATTTTTGATGATTATCGCAGGAAGTCGTGGAACGAGATCGGAACGTGATCGCTACTTATCTGCGGTTTTATTGCCGGTTTCTATTTTCAGATGGACCAATTAAATGTCGGATTTTCCCTCATTATTTCTCGTTCGTTTTATCCTCTTTTCTACTACTCGAAAACTTTTAGCTAATACCTTTTTTGATTCCTCTTTATACACTCGTCATTTTAAAAACTTTCGGTTTTCGGTTATAAATAACTAGGATAAGTAAAATGGTAAATAATTAGTGGGAAAATACTCTACTCTAGTGCTTATGTGAAAAGACCGTTCTAAAACGCCCTAATCCCTTTCTATCGGATCGAAAGACCGCGGAAGTCGCCGCGGAATCCTCCGGGTCATTCGGAATTACTTCCACGTAATCATTCAATTGGCAGAAAACTTTTATTCTTTTCGATACATTCTCGGCGGCGCGGCACGTGAGCTGCACTCCCGACTCATTTCGAAAGCTATCCGTCGCGACGCTCTCCGAGTTTCGATATCATTTTTATTCCGTCCCGTCGTCGTTACAAATCAATGGGTTAGCCGGTACTGTTGTGTTGTTTGTAGCCTTTGTTCGAGAGGTAAAAGGAAATGCGAGTCGATTGCGGTGGTCCAGAAACCCCATTGAATGCTTTAAGAATAGGTCGAGTTAGAAGTAAATGGAATTGGTTTTCTTTTGCCGGGGAATTTACCACATCCCCGTGACGATTAAAAATAATTTACGGTTTTAATTGGAGAGGGAGTAGGGTAGAGAGGTTCTTGCTAGAATATTATGGCGGATAATTCGGCAACGACTGTCCAATTTCCCGTTGAATAGACGAGAAAGAAGTGGAATAGCTTTGTGAATTGTTAACTCGACATAAATTAACGAAATAGTGGAATCGGTGGGGTAACTTCGACTTCTGTTAGTGACAACAAAGACCGCAATGAATCCGATGACTTGCACATAGTAAAATCCGATGATATGGTCACACACACACACACACAGGAGAATTTTCACATCGAATAATTCACGTTCGGTTAAAGTATCACGTACCGTTCAAATTCCAATTTTAAGAGAAGTCATGCATGATGGTGTTAGTTGACACAAATTAGATCCTTTGTAACGTTTGTTTTTTTTAAGTGGGTTTTTCTTTATTCGTTGTGTAATGGACGTGCGTCCAATTTACTTATGCACTTAAACCTTATTACAGTATCACCCAATTTACATCCGTGCATATTCATTTTTAGAACAAAAAGCCCCGCAAAGTACGCTTGGTGTACAGTTTCAATTAAGGCCCGGAATACCTGCATCTGTCCAACCCACAGCCCGAAACACGTCCAATTATTTCTTCGCTAATCGGAATATCGAATTCCGGGGGACACGTTGTCTTTCACCACAATGGCGATCGGATCGCCTACCGCGCCACCTATTGTCTCTCCCGTGCAGGTATATCTAATTAATGGAGATCCAGCCGTTGTAACGCTAGCTATCACAATGGGTCCAGAAATCGGATACCGAGTTTTGCGTTAATTATCAACCGAAAAACGGAATTTTTACGGCGTAGGTAATTGCGTAATTCCATAAGGAACTTCGATGCGCCGGGC